GGTGACATTCAGGCGCTTTTCTAACGAGACGGGAGAGCAGTATTGGGGGTAAGGTCGGAGAACGGGCTTGTCTGCTCGAGTCTCTCCTTGGTGAGCAGCCAGTCCGAACAGCCCGAGAACGCTTGGAGGACTCTGAGGCCTGGTCCTTTCCCTGCCGGCAGAGGGAGTCCTGAGATGGACGGTCCAAAATCCGTCTAACGAAAAGAGCGTTTGCATGACCGCTCAACCAATTTTGTACCTCCTGGGGCCGAGCGAGAGCCGAGATAATTAAACGCAAGCGACAGCTGCCTCGGCACCTTGGGCGCCAGGCGCCGGGCTCCGAGCCCGACGGCCCGAATTCTCGCGAGAGCAGCCGCCGCCATTTTTCCATTGATTGCAGCGGACTGGGGGAGGGGCCGACAACTAAGGCGACGGCGGCGGCGGTGGAGCCTTGGGTCGGTGTCTGCGCGCTGGTGTCTAAGGCCCAGGCTGAGGCCTCCGCGGTTGCTGGAGCACAGGCAGTGGAGAGGATGACTGCTGCTGCCATTCTCTCCTGAGAGAGAGCCGCCGCCACCTCCCCCCTCCCCCGCAGGGCGGAGAGGAGCGGCCCGAGTCTGAGCGATGGTGCCCGGCGAGGAGAACCAACTGGTCCCGAAAGAGGTGAGGGGCCAGTGGAGGAGCCTAGGCCCGAGGCCTGCGGACGCTGGAGGTAGCGCAGGCCGGGGCGATGGGCCGACTGCGGGCCCAGCGCCTGTACGGGCCCGGCTGCGGGGCAAGGTGGAGGTGTGTGGTGGTGCTGGTGTGGGGAGGTGTGCGGTGGGGGCGGCGAGCAGCCGGGAGCCCCGAGTGCATCTAGGGGGCCGGAGGAGCGGAGACCTCGCCCTTTGGGTTTGTGGGGCTGGACAAATAAAGGAGCGCACTGGAGGGAATCAGGTCCGGTTTTGGGGGAGAAGGTGGCCTTTTTAAGTACTTATTTAACATGTCGAGCCAAGATAGGTAATTTCAAAGGAGAAATTCTGGAGCAGTTGCAGGGTGACGGTGCTGCTTCTGGTTTTGACAGAGGCAGTGTATAACTTTCAGGGCTTGTGAAATCTACACCCAACTTGAGACCTGTGGGAGGGCAGAGTTAACTGTTACGACTTTTTTGAAATCCTGTTACTTGGTAGTAGTACTATTGGCCTGCCTCAGTGGGGCCTGCCGAAGATCGTTGAAAAGTAGTAAATGTGACTTTCACGGAAAGGTAAGAGATAGCTTAGCATTGCCATATGGAGAGCTGAACTACTTTTTGTAGTTAGGTTGTGTATGCCAGTTTGGGTGACTTCTTAAATTCTTAAAAGCAAGTGATATGAGAAGCCTCGACTTCTTGGCTTGAGTAGTACAAGTCTAATAATGGTAGAATCCAGCACGGGCCAGTGAATTTCAATATATTAATAGTATCTCTGTTGGCTTTATAAATATCTTCAGCATATACAAACGTGTATTTTTAACTGGTTGGTCTTCCAGGCTAATGCTTTGGACTTTTATTTCTCATATACCTTAAGTAGAGGCAGGTGTCTGTTGAAATTAGCTGTGTAGCAGGATCTTGATATTTATGAGTGATGTTCATTAGAAATTCTTTTTTTTTTGCCGTTTTTAGTTGCTTTGTATCAATTTGTTGTTACTTAAAACAAGCTCTGACACTGCAAAAGACATATTGGAGTTATGTATCTCTGATATAAATATTTTTTCAACATTATCAGATGATAGTTGTTTTGCAAGGACAATTTTTTTTAAATTCAGTTATCATGTGTCAGTATTCATCAACCATTACCTGTGCAAAGCAGATAAACAGATGAATTAATCAGAATTCTTGCCTTGGGAGCTTTCAAAGCTACTAAGAACTAGATCACTAGTATTCATTGAGTCCGAATTAGGAGCTAGGTATTTTCCTACATAAGCAACTCTTATGCAAGGATGGAAGTGATAGATGATATAAGAAAGACATAAACATGCATTTTCTTTTAGTGTTACATATTGCTGGGTTTCATTCTTATGAAAAGCAAAGTTAGTTCTAATTTTTCTGACCATTAGAAAATATATTACACGTGGAACTCTGCTTTAAGAAAACCCTATGTTAGATTTATTTCCCTAATAATTTGATGTGTAGAAAACATGAAAACTGATACTGTAATGCTGCTGTTACCTTTCGGATTTTAAAGATTAAATACCTGTCCTTTAAGACTTAACTCCTTACCTGAGGCTTCACGTTCACCCCCAGCTTTTTTTCTTTCTACTTTTTGTGGACCGGATGCCTTTATTTTCTATTTCCTAGACTCATCTTCCGTCGTTTTCCCTGGCTTATGCCATGATTTCTGGAAGGCATGCACATAATACTCTCAAATCTTATGACTGACTTAAAGTCCTTGCCTTGTTTTAGCTAGCTAACTACTTCTTTTCTTTTTTGATAGCCATATTTCTTGAATTTTTCTCACTTGCTTCTCTTCCTTGAATTTTCTTTTGCATTTGATACTTAAAAAAAAAAATTCTTGATTTTAGCAATACTGTACCTTTCTGATCTTTTTTCCTACCTGTTTGTCCTATCTGCTCACTCATTTAGTCAATGCCTTTCTCTTTTTTCGCTGTCCTCAATTGTCACTTTTGTCTGGTGTTTGTCGTTCCCTGTCTGGTCTATTTAAGTGGGAGTAGAATCATGCAGTGCTAAAGCTGAGAGAGAGCATAGTGATCATCTGGTAACTTATGCCCCTTTACTTTACAGATGACAAAATTGGGGCCAGAAGATTGAGAATGACTTGTTCAGGGTCACATAATGAGTAAATGACAGAGCCAGGACTAGAACTGACATCCCCTTGATTATACTCTTATTTTACAGGTTCCTCCATGTAATCTAGAGGCACTGTAAGAATAGTTTGTAACTCTTTAACTACATTTACTATTTGAAAATAAGATACAAAATTTTTAAAAAAACTTCCGCTCTCATGGCTTATTATAAATAATTTGGAAAGTTTTTGTTTTTTTGAGGACCTTCGTATAGGGAACCTCTGACCCCTACTAGATCTTGGTTAGGTATGTGCATTCATGCATGTTGAATGAGTAATATATTATTCTGGTCCCTGAAGCTCAAGGACAAATGTACCTTAGAGGGCTGCTGAAGAAAGCAGCTTAGTGTAGTACAGGGGTTGGTAAACTGTACCCATGGGCCAAATCTAGCCTGCAGTCCATTTTTGTATGGCCCATGAGTTAAGAATGATTTTTACATTTTCAAACTGTTGGAAAAAAATCAAAAGAATAATAATCTGTGATGCATAGAAATATATGCAATTCATATTTCGGTATTCATAAATAAAGTTGTATTGGAACGCAGCCATGCTCATTTACTTACTGTTGTCTATGGCTACAGCAGAGTTGAATAGTTGGTACAGGTACTGTATGCAGAATAAATTTGAAACTACTTAGATAGCTTGGTATTCAAGGCCTAGCTAGTCCAGTTTGATTCTGGCCACAACCTGCCCTTTCACTTTAGCTCTTCTCCTACGAAACAAGTTTTTAATGCAGCCAAACAGGTTTCTCTCTAACTTGTTTTTCATTTCTATTTCTGCTATTCCCTCTTTCCTACTTCACTCCAGCTGTTCAGAACCTTCATACACATTTTTTTTTGTAAGTACCTCATATCTTATTTATTCTAAAAAAACCTTTTCTGGCCATTTCAACCTTAGGGATTTCTTCTTCTTATATATAAATAGAATTCATCTGGCAATTAATAAATAGTGCCTCATGATATCTATTATGGTCTCAAACTATAATGTACATTTTATATATTATGTTACGAATTTCTTGGCGGCAGAGATCTTGTGTGTTTCTCTCTCTCTCACCTGTTTTGTACATATTATAGGCCTAGGACAGTGTCCTTTCTGGAGCAGATAGTCATAATATTTCTTGATGTGGTTTCAGGGTTGTATGGAAACTTAGAATTCTAACCCATTATCCCCTGCTTGGATGTTTTCCACAGCATCCTTGGCAAGCTTTTTTCCAACCTCTGCTTAAATACCTTCATGACTAATCTCTTTTAACATCTTTGGCTTAAAAGAGATCTGTTAAGTTTTTGAGTTGAGAGAAGTCTAGATCTCTATAGCTGCCATCTTTTGATAGTTGCCTCTGGACAACAAAGAAATCTTAAATCATTTTCTGTAGGATAGCTTTTTCTCACTGATAAAGATGGGGGAGGGGAGCAGGAGGGCCAACTCTTTCTGTTCTACAGTCTGAACAGCTCAGCTCTTTCACTGTTTCTCACTTGCTCTCTTTTAGACATATTTCAGTGTTTTTAGTATTCTTCCTAAATCGTTGTACCCAGAGAAGAGCAGAGACAGTGTGGTCTGTTCATTGTGGTTAACAACAAAGCTTTTCACCTCATGTTTTCACTCTATTGTATGTCTTTGAATTGTATATTGATACTGGCTTTGAGA